GGCTCTCTAGCTGTTGTGGAACTACATTTCCCATGAGGCATTGCAGCATTACAAAACTGGCAGTTACAGCTATGACTTGCAGAGGCATGATGGAACTTGTAGTCCTGCAACAGCTGTAGAGCCGCATGTTGCCTACCCCTGGCCTAGGTGATCGGAAATGGAAGTTGTGTCCCCCCCACCCCCCCTCCCTGAAGTCTTGTGACAGGTCCCAGAAGACTAAAGGACCATTCACAAAGCGCAGTGTTTCTCGCACATGCTCAGTGGGCACCCGGCTGTGAAGCTGCAAGCTGTCCCCACCGGGGGCCCACACTGAAGATGCCGGCGCCAGGAATACAGGACGGCCGGTGAAACGGGCTGCGGCGGGGGCAACGTGGGACCGAGGGACAGGTAAGTGGTTGTGTTTTAAAAGTCATCAGATACAGTTTTTGTCCAGTTTTTGTAGCCGCTGACTTTTATTTTTTTACAGAGTGAGTGGAACTTTGCTTTAAGTGAAAAGGAAATGGGGAATAACCGGAGGAATGTAATGAAGTGCGTTCTGTGGTTGTGTTGGCTATGTGAGCCGTATAGTGCAGCAATGAGCACCAGCTGAGAGACTGCTGGGGACACATCAAAGGCCCATAATTGGCTCATAATCCAGCGGCTGGGGACGACCGTCTAACAGGACGAACGTTTACATGTTGCCCATAGCAACCAGACTCTCCCGATTCTTCTTGGAATACATAGGAAAAACAAAAGACGAAATGCTATTGTCGGTAACAAAAAACCGTTTTCCGTCGTAATTCTGTTTACGAATGTTGTCTGCGTTTGTATCTGTAGGTACGAGACATGTTTTCCATGGCGAAGAAGAACGCACCGTGCATCCTCTTTATTGACGAGATCGATGCTGTTGGAAGGAAGAGGGGGCAAGGCAGCTTCGGAGGGCACAGCGAGCAAGAAAATACCCTCAACCAGCTGCTGGTGGAGATGGACGGTGAGCAAAACCCGCACAGCATTATGGGACGTAATCAGAGGCAGGTTTGTGTTAGGTTCAGGCTCCATTCACACTTGTGCTGCTCCAGTCAGTCACACGATTTCCAGTGGTCTATGGAGGGCGACTTTGAATCCATCTTTACGCCATCTGGGACTAAGTCACACCAAAGCAGGGACCTTTGTTCTGTCGCACTGATCTGAGCAGGAGCCAACTGGACTGTTTATGTGGCCAAAGTCACCTGATCAGTCGTACAAGTGTGATTGGAGCCTCGTACGGCGTCTTCTAGAACGAAACGTTGGTAGGTTGTGTTCCGGCTGTCAGTGTTGTACTAGGTTACTGCTTCCTCCATCATCTTCCAGGATGGAATGACCATAGAGGCATCACTCCTCCTAACACGCAGCAAACACAACCACAACAACACTTTTAAAGTGATTGTAAACCCTCCATATATCCAGTGAAGTGAATGGCCTCAGGTGATACAAATCCTCCTACATAAGTTGTACCTGTTTATCTGCAGCCATTGGTCCTGTGCATCCTTGTAAAACTCAGGGATGAAAAGGATTTTTCACAGACGTAGGGGGCAGGGAGCTGCAGTCACATACTGTACAAGAGCTCTGAGAGCTGATTGGAGGGAAGGGACACACCCTCCTTCAGACAGCATACAGGAACATAGCTGAGGCTGTCAATCACAGGCTGTGTGCTGGAGCTCCCTCCCCTGTCACCATTTTTCTCCTGGTGTCAGGAAAACTTGTCAGAAGTGACTCGTGCAGATAGCAGGGGAAGGAGGCAGCAGACAGAAATGACACCCAGTGCTCTGGAGAGAGGCAAGTACACGCTATAGAGGGATGTGCTCTGTTTAGATGTCTGAGGTTTATAACCACTTTAAAGGAGATCTCATCAGGGATTGGGCAATTGAGAAACTGGGACTGTTGATGAGGGCCGAGCTTAAATCTACTCAATATTTTCAGACCTGGGAACGTCTGTAAGTATGTGAATGTGACGCCTGTCACCCCGCCTGGGTGCTTCCTTGCTGCTGGGACGCAGGAACAAGGTATTCTAGGCAGGCATTGCGCCCAAGAACTAGACGACACTTGCTTAGGTGCAACTGGAACTGTTTATTGAACAGAAATACAGGTTTTTATACACTCCAGAAATAGGGGCAGCCCCCACGTGAACAATAAAAACAAATATTACACATAAACATCCCACACTGATTACATAGCGAGGTAAAGTTGACACCAGACTAATCCCATCATGTAGGAACCTCCAGGAGGACCAGCCAACAGACAGAAACTATAGGTGACTCCATTAACAATGGAACAAACACAACGGTAAACCCATCACACCCTAATAAACAGATCACAGCCGGAGGCCTCAGCATTGGGTGGCTTTGAGCTGATTATATTACCATCCGCTCTGAGTTTAGGGGGGGGGGGGGGGGGAGTTGAAGCAGTCAATGCTGGTTTGGGCACAGAGACCCCAAATCTGTCTCCTGGTCCTCAGTTCTCAGAATCCGTGTGTTTTTTTTTGGGGAGACACGGGCTTGAACCTGAAGTAAAACTACTCCAAAGGTCCCGCCAGGCACACCCCTCCCAAAGCATAGTCCCCAATAGCCCCGTCCCGGTTGGGTCTGTCACAGTGAACAGAAATCCAATACCTGGCACTAGGAATAATCGGTACAACTGCCCATGAAGTAGGTCTCTTTCAGCAAGACAGTCTAGGTGTGGTAAAGAATGGGGGCCGAGCAGTGATTTTACCACCCCCCTCCTGAACTATAAAATAACAGCCGAACGGAGCTGTCGCAGCATTTTTGACTTGGGAGGCAGAGTTTGGCGAGCAGCAATGCTTGTCATACTCGCCCATTGAGTTCAGTAAGGCCGCGCTGCAAATGCAACGCTCTCCCACCAGATCCGAGGCTGCTTGCTGCACTACTCAGCTCCTCAGGCTCTCTCCTTCCACTTCTTGCAGCCCCCCATACAGACGTCTGTCAGCATGCCTCTCCGAGCGGAGGGGGGACTCCTAGCAGATCCCGCTGCTGTCAATCAAATTCTGTGGTGGGGGGAGGGGCTGAACCACCCTGTCTGTGTCAATGGATACAGACAAGGTAGCTCAGGAGCGAGCCTGCTAAAGTGCCCCATAGGAAGCAGCTTGCTGTGGGGGGCACTCGCTAAAGAGGAGGAGCCAGGAGCTCCGGTGGATGACCCCAGAAGAGGAGGATCATTGCAGAGCCGGTAAGTAGAACGTTTGTTATTTAAAAAGGGAAAAAAATGTAACTTTAATGTTCCTTTCATGGCCACTTCCTCCATGTCTCTCATCATGGAGCCTTTGTCTGCGGGGACCCCAAGTGAATGCGGGGTCCGGGGAGAGCGGATATAGTGAATGCGGGGTGGGGGAGAGCGGATATAGTGAATGCGGGGTCCGGGGAGAGCGGATATAGTGAATGCGGGGTCCGGGAGAGCGGATACAGTGAATGCGGGGTCCGGGGAGAGCGGATATAGTGAATGCGGGGTCCGGGGAGAGCGGATATAGTGAATGCGGGGTCCGGGGAGAGCGGATACAGTGAATGCGGGGTCCGGGGAGAGCGGATGTAGTGAATGCGGGGTCCGGGAGAGCGGGTACAGGGAATGCGGGGTCCGGGGAGAGCGGATATAGTGAATGCGGGGTCCGGGGAGAGCGGATAGTGAATGCGGGGTCCGGGGAGAGCGGATGTAGTGAATGCGGGGTCCGGGGAGAGCGGATACAGTGAATGCGGGGTCCGGGAGAGAGCGGATACAGTGAATGCGGGGTCCGGGGAGAGCGGATACAGTGAATGCGGGGTCCGGGGAGAGCGGATACAGTGAATGCGGGGTCCGGGGAGAGCGGATACAGTGAATGCGGGGTCCGGGGAGAGCGGATATAGTGAATGCGGGGTCCGGGGAGAGCGGATATAGTGAATGCGGGGTCCGGGAGAGCGGATATAGTGAATGCGGGGTCCGGGGAGAGCGGATATAGTGAATGCGGGGTCCGGGAGAGCGGATATAGTGAATGCGGGTCCGGGAGAGCGGATATAGTGAATGCGGGGTCCGGGAGAGCGGATATAGTGAATGCGGGGTCCGGGGAGAGCGGATACAGTGAATGCGGGGTCCGGGGAGAGCGGATACAGTGAATGCGGGGTCCGGGGAGAGCGGATACAGTGAATGCGGGGTCCGGGGAGAGCGGATATAGTGAATGCGGGGTCCGGGGAGAGCGGATATAGTGAATGCGGGGTCCGGGGAGAGCGGATATAATGAATGCGGGGTCCGGGGAGAGCGGATATAGTGAATGCGGGGTCCGGGGAGAGCGGATATAGGAATGCGGGGTCCGGGGAGAGCGGATATAGTGAATGCGGGGTCCGGGGAGAGCGGATATAGTGAATGCGGGGTCCGGGGAGAGCGGATACAGTGAATGCGGGGTCCGGGGAGCGGATACAGTGAATGCGGGGTACAGGAGAGCGGATACAGTGAATGCGGGGTCCGGGGAGAGCGGATGTAGTGAATGCGGGGTCCGGGGAGAGCCGGGGGGAGAGCGGGTACAGTGAATGCGGGGTCCGGGGAGAGCGGATACAGTGAATGCGGGGTCCGGGGAGAGCGGATATAGTGAATGCGGGGTCCGGGGAGAGCGGATATAGTGAATGCGGGGTCCGGGGAGAGCGGATATAGTAATGCGGGGTCCGGGGAGAGCGGAATGCGGGGTCCGGGGAGAGCGGATATAGTGAATGCGGGGTCCGGGGAGAGCGGATATAGGGAATGCGGGGTCCGGGAGAGCGGATATATAGGGAATGCGGGGTCCGGGGAGAGCGGATATAGTGAATGCGGGGTCCGGGGAGAGCGGATATAGTGAATGCGGGGTCCGGGGAGAGCGGATATAGTGAATGCGGGGTCCGGGGAGAGCGGATGTAGTGAATGCGGGGTCCGGGGAGAGCGGATATAGTGAATGCGGGGTCCGGGGAGAGCGGATATGGAATGCGGGGTCCGGGGAGAGCGGATATAGGGAATGCGGGGTCCGGGGAGAGCGGATATAGGGAATGCGGGGTCCGGGGAGAGCGGATATAGGGAATGCGGGGTCCGGGAGAGCAGATATAGTGAATGCGGGGTCCGGGAGAGCGGATATAGTGAATGCGGGGTCCGGGGATCTAAGTGCGGGGTCAGGGAGAGCGGAAGGGGATGAGCGGATAGGAGCTCCGGGGAGAGCGGATTTGAGGAGGGATTGCGGGGTCCGGGGAGAGCGAATGTAGAGCTCCTGCGGGGTCCTATAGGGAATGCTCCATCACATGGTCCCTGGGGTATCTATAGTGAATGCGGGTCCGGGGGAGCGGATATAGTGAATGCGGGGTCCCGGTATCTGAATCGGGGTCCGGGAGAGGGATACAGTAATTGCAGGTTCCGGGACATAAGGAGTGATGTTCTGTCATCCAGCAGGGGAGAGCATGCAGCAGAGGCAGCGTTGTCATCTAAGTACAGGAAGGGAGGAGCTGACTGCATTTGAGGAGGGATTGCCCAGATGTAGAGCTCCTTCGCATGGTCCCTGTATCTCCATCGCATGGTCCCTGTATCTCCATCGCATGGTCCCTGTATCTCCATCGCATGGTCCCTGTATCTCCATCGCATGGTCCCTGTATCTCCATCGCATGGTCCCTGTATCTCCATCGCATGGTCCCTGTATCTCCATCGCATGGTCCCTGTATCTCCATCACATGGTCCCTGTATCTCCATCACATGGTCCCATACTCCAGCACTGGTCTCCACTGATGACAGAGATGGGAGCTGAGGCCTATGGCTGTGGATGTTTCCAGTCCAGGTGTGTTTATTGCAGGGAATGCTGTGGCCCCCATAGGGCAAAATAGGCGACTTGCCTTCCCTCTGCAATCCTTGCAGGAACCCCACCCCATGATGCAGAGTCCTTCCCTAGTCCCAGAGTCTGGAGCTGGGAGGAGAGGCAGTGATGGTGGATATGAGTGGAAACGCTTCTCCAAAGCTGTCAGGGTATGTGAACGTTGCATGATTCTGTGCTGCCAGCAGGGGGCAGGAGAGTGCCGTTCCCTGTGCAGTCAGCCATGTTTAATAACCTTTCCTGCTAATTGATGGAACAGAATAAATCCTCATTCAGGTCATTGCAAGAAAATGGTCCTATAGACGAGCCGGAGATCTGTGCAGAAAAGAATTTCCAGTCACGATTCTGTGTGATTTCTGTCAGAACAAGGCAAACAATTCATTTACAAAACTAGTTTTCTGTGTTCATTTACTGCCGCAATACGCAGGCAATCCCGGGCCACGGCGCACGGGCCACGTGGATCCTTCATTGATCCAAAACACAGAATCCAGCTGTATGCTTTGATCATCCGCAGGGCCCCTTACCCCAGATGACTCCTTCATTAACATGTATGTGGGGGCCAAAAACTGCATTTACATGTCGGGGGCAGCTCTGGGCTGGGGGGGGGAACTATTGAATTCCTTCATTTATTTTTAGCGTGCTAATGGAGAGAATCACAAAATCAGAGTTAGGTGGGTGGTAACATTTCTCGAAGTCGTCTGTCTGTTCAATACATCGGAGGGCAAAATAAATTGTCTGTCTGTCTGCGTGTCTGTCTGCGTGTCTGTCTGTCTGTCTGTCTGCCTGTCTGTCTGCCTGTCTGTCTGTCTGCCTGCCTGTCTGTCTGCGTGTCTGTCTGCTGCCTGCCTGCCTGCCTGTCTGCCTGTCTGTCTGTCTGTCTGTCTGCCTCTGTGTCTGTCTGTCTGCCTGCCTGCCTGTCTGCCTGTCTGCCTGCCTGTCTGTCTGCCTGCCTGTCTGCCTGCCTGTCTGCCTGTCTGTCTGTCTGTCTGTCTGTCTGCCTGTCTGTCTGTCCTGTCTGTCTGCCTGTCTGTGCCTGTCTGTCTGTCTGCTGTGTCTGTCTGTGTGTCTGTCTGTGTGTCTGTCTGTGTGTCTGTCTGCGTGCCTGTCTGTCTGCGTGTCTGTCTGCTGTGTCTGTCTGTGCCTGCCTGTCTGTCTGTCTGCCTGTCTGTCTGTCTGTCTGCTGTGTCTGTCTGTCTGCCTGTCTGTCTGCCTGTGCTGTCTGTCTGCCTGCCTGTCTGTCTGCCTGTCTGTCTGCCTGTCTGCCTGTCTGTCTGCCTGTCTGTCTGTGCCTGTCTGTGTGTCTGTCTGTGTGTGTCTGTCTGTCTGTCTGTCTGTCTGTCTGCCTGTCCTGTCTGCTGTGTCTGTCTGCGTCTGTCTGTCTGTCTGCGTGCTGTTGCTGTCTGCTGTCTGTCTGTCTGTCTGTCTGCCTGTCTGTGCCTGTCTGCCTGTCTGCCTGCCTGTCTGCTGTGTGCCTGTCTGTGTCTGCCTGCTGCTGCCTGCTGTCTGTCTGTGTCTGTCTGTCTGTGCCTGCTGTCTGTCTGCCTGTCTGCCTGTCTGTCTGTCTGTCTGTCTGTCTGTCTGTCTGTCTGTCTGTCTGCGTGTCTGTCTGTCTGTCTGTCTGTCTGCGTGTCTGTCTGTCTGCTGTCTGTCTGCGTGTCTGTCTGTCTGTCTGTCCTGTCTGTCTGCGTGTCTGTCTGTCTGTCTGTCTGTCTGCGTGTCTGCGTGTCTGTCTGTCTGTCTGTCTGTCTGCGTGTCTGTCTGTCTGTCTGCTGTGTCTGTCTGCATGTCTGCCTGTCTGCGTGTCTGTCTGCGTGTCTGTCTGTCTGCCTGTCTGCCTGCCTGCCTGCCTGTCTGTCTGTCTGTCTGTGCAAAGCTTCTTGACATTTCCTTTCTGTTCACCCCGATAGGTTTCAGTACTGATACCAATGTGGTTGTTCTGGCCGGCACGAACAGACCGGACATCCTGGACCCAGCTCTGATGAGACCGGGAAGATTCGATCGTCAAATTTACATAGGTAAAGCGGGGGAGGGGGGGGGGGGCGTTTAATAACGCTGGTAACGTTCGCTGTGTAAAGTGGCGGTTTATGGACTGGCTTCTGTCGAATGATCGTCCTGATGGAAAACCAGCAATTGAACAGCCGTTGCAGCCAATGTCTTCAGTGCTGATCCGTGTATTCTGATGGGTCCCCGCTATCAGAATACTATAGTGCGGCGAGGGAGATCCCTGATTCCACATTGTTTACATGGAGGTTTACATGGAGGTTTACATGGAGGTTTACATGGAGGTTTACATGGAGGTTTTCATGGAGGTTTACATGGAGGTTTACATGGAGGTTGGGATCTTTGAGCTTTTTTTTCTTCATTCAATCTGCTGGTTGAATGAGAAAAAAAATCTGTCACTGTATACAGAGCTTGAGGTTCTTATTGGCAATCTAAAGATCTCTCTAGCGCAGGTTTTAGCAATTCGAGACGGTAGAGGATGTCTGATGAAAACAAATCTGCAGCTTTGTTTCAAAAATCAATATTGTAATGAACCCAGAACACGTCCTAAATCCGCAATCTAAGGCTCCATGTGCACTGCAGCCGATAAACGGGCGTTCGGGAGATGTTCTGCGTTTTCCCAGCAGCTCCTGAACTCTCCCTAATGTCCTCCTATGTGTCCGTGTACACAGAGTCCTGTACAGGCAGCTGCGTTTACAGTCCTTTACGGGCAGCTGCGTTTACAGTCCTGTACGGGCAGCTGCGTTTACAGTCCTTTACGGGCAGCTGCGTTTACAGTCCTTTACGGGCAGTTGCGTTTACAGTCCTTTACGGGCAGCAGCTGCGTTTTACAGTCCTTTACGGGCAGTTGCGTTTACAGTCCTGTACAGGCAGCTGCGTTTACAGTCCTTTACGGGCAGCTGTGTTTACAGTCCTTTACGGGCAGCTGCGTTTACAGTCCTTTACGGGCAGCTGCGTTTACAGTCCTTTACGGGCAGCTGCGTTTACAGTCCTTTACGGGCAGCTGCGTTTACAGTCCTTTACAGGCAGCTGCGTTTACAGTCCTTTACGGGCAGCTGCATTTACAGTCCTTTACGGGCAGTGGAGTTTACAGTCCTGTACAGGCAGCTGCGTTTACAGTCCTTTACAGGCAGCTGCATTTACAGTCCTTTACGGGCAGCTGCATTTACAGTCCTTTACAGGCAACTGCGTTTACAGTCCTTTACGGGCAGCTGCATTTACAGTCCTTTACAGGCAACTGCGTTTACAGTCCTTTACGGGCAGTGGAGTTTACAGTCCTTTACGGGCAGCTGCATTTATAGTCCTTTACGGGCAGTGGAGTTTACAGTCCTTTACGGGCAGCTGCATTTACAGTCCTTTACGGGCAGTTGCATTTACAGTCCTTTACGGGCAGCTGCGTTTACAGTCCTTTACGGGCAGCTGCGTTTACAGTCCTTTACGGGCAGCTGAATTTACAGTTGTTTTTTGAACGCACCAAACTTGCGTTCAGGAGTAGATTTTATCAGCGTTGTAAACGCGGCTAACCGCGTTTATAAGCGTTTGCGTTTGGAAAACACTTCCATTTCCAGATGCTGTACAAAGCCTTTTTTCATCATGAAAAATGCATGCAAAGCGTTTTCCTGGTACTCAGATGGACCCGGTACACCGTACGTTGAGATGAAAGAAAATATGTTAGACCAGGGGAGGACTGACAACTCGTAGGGCCCCCGGGCAATAGGGGATCATGGGGCCCCTGTGTCCTTGACCACACTCAAAGCACACCCAAAAAAGCCTATAAAAGGCACCAGGGGCATTTCATGGGGCCCCCTACTGACCCTGGCCCCCGGGCAGTGCCCGAGTGCTCTAATGGTCAGTCCGCCCCTGTGTTGGACACGGCTGCAATAATTTCTGCACAGAAATGAGCCGGAACATCCAAACACCACAAAGAAAAAAAGACAGCTAATCTCAACACATACTACTCTCCCTGCGTCTGCTCTCCCCGGCTTCTGCTCTCTCCATTCCTCTCAAAATGTCTGAAATAGTTAATTTTTTACTCTTTTTCAGTGCATTCTGGGCATTTGGGAGGGTCTCCTGAGGTTATCTTTAAAAAACGCTTCTAAATGCAAACGCTCATAAACGCGGTGTGCAAACGCGGCTAAACTGCTGTTTTTTAACCTCCGGTTTCCATCGTTCAGAAGTGTACACGAGCCCAAGTGCTGCACCTATTTTCCACATAAACTCCGATTTTTGCCACGGTCTTCCTAACTGAACTCATCCAATCTGGTGGCCGCTGACCTATCGATATCTGACCATCTAGTCTCCCGTGGAGGAACGAATACGCAGGAAGTCCTGTACTCAGCGCAGTCCCAGTCAATGCATCTGCCCATTACTACAGATGAGCTCAGACTTCCTCTGAATTCTTCTCTAGCTGAACATCCAAATCATGCTTTTTTTATTTTTATTTTTTTTTATTATTCCATTCAGCTGCAGGCCGGGTCATTCCCCCCCCCCTGCATCACACGTAAACAAAGGGGTGCTGGTGATGCCCATGTATGGACACATGCCCATGTTTATTCAGTGTCATTGGCTGAATTGGGGCACTAATGTCCCCAGCACTCCGTCCCTTTGTTTACATGCGCTGCGGGTCAGGGAATGACCTGAGCTGACTGGAGTAAACAAATAATGACTTGTGATGTTCAGGGGCCGCCTGAGCTCATCCCCCCCCACTATCCTCTGTCGGGGCCCATATGTTCGCTGATTAGTGGACATGCTGAGGGGATTAAGCTGCATTGACAAGCTCACCATTCTATCTCAGTAGCTGAACATGGAAGAGCGACATGCCCGCCTCTGGCAGAATACCCCGTAAGCCAGAAAAATGTAATAAAGTGCGAGTTTCAGCCAATCTGCTCCGCCTCGGTTTGAACCGCCCATCTGTCAGTTAATTGGCTCAGTTTCTTCAGGCTGGGGGCAGGTACATACCATATTGTTCGCTCCATAAGATGCACCTAGGATTTAGAGGAGGAAAACAAGGAAACAAATATTCTGAACCAATGGACTGCAGACAGGAGATGACCAGAGACTGCGGACACAGTACAGGAGATGACCAGAGACTGCGGACACAGTACAGGAGATGACCAGAGACTGCGGACATAGTACAGGAGATGACCAGAGACTGCGGACACAGTACAGGAGATGACCAGAGACTGCGGACACAGTACAGGAGATGACCAGAGACTGCAGACACAGTACAGGAGATGACCAGAGACTGCAGACACAGTACAGGAGATGACCAGAGACTGCAGACACAGTACAGGAGATGACCAGAGACTGCAGACATAGTACAGGAGATGACCAGAGACTGCGGACATAGTACAGGAGATGACCAGAGACTGCGGACACAGTACAGGAGATGACCAGAGACTGCGGACATAGTACAGGAGATGACCAGAGACTGCAGACATAGTACAGGAGATGACCAGAGACTGCGGACAGTACAGGAGATGACCAGAGACTGCGGACAGTACAGGAGATGACCAGAGACTGCGGACACAGTACAGGGGATGATCAGAGACTGCGGACACAGTACAGGGGATGACCAGAGACTGCGGACACAGTACAGGAGATGATCAGAGACTGCGGACATAGTACAGGAGATGACCAGAGACTGCGGACACAGTACAGGAGATGACCAGAGACTACGGACATAGTACAGGAGATGACCAGAGACTGCAGACACAGTACAGGAGATGACCAGAGACTGCAGACACAGTACAGGAGATGACCAGAGACTGCGGACACAGTACAGGAGATGACCAGAGACTGCGGACATAGTACAGGAGATGACCAGAGACTGCGGACATAGTACAGGGGATGACCAGAGACTGCAGACACAGTACAGGAGATGACCAGAGACTGCAGACACAGTACAGGAGATGACCAGAGACTGCAGACACAGTACAGATGATCAGAGACTGCGGACACAGTACAGATGATCAGAGACTGTGGACACAGTACAGGAGATGACCAGAGACTGCGGACATAGTACAGGAGATGACCAGAGACTGCGGACACAGTACAGGGGATGATCAGAGACTGCAGACACAGTACAGGGGATGATCAGAGACTGCAGACCTGGGGGGAGTGGGTACTCGAATTTGACAGGTACCTCTGCAGAGTTGTCCTCCCTCCCCGTCTTCTGGGACATGTGACAGGTCCCAGAAGACTACAGGACCATTCACAAAGCGCAGCGCTTCTCGCACATGCTCAGTGGGTACTTGGCTGTGAAGCCGCAAGCTGTCCCCTGCCGGGTGCCCACACTAAAGATGCCGGCGCCGGGGAGAGAAGACGGTGAGGACAACGCTGGACCGAGGAACAGATAGGAACGGCGGCGGCAGGAATACCGGGCCGGTCATTCCACATTCGCTCCATAAGACGTACAGACATTTTCCCCCATTTTTTGGGGGGAAAAAGTGCGTCTTATGGAGCGAAAAATCCAGTGCGTCTTGTAATTCTATTTCCCGCACAGCTCTGGGCTGAAGGTGAGTATTGCAGCAAAATGTTTTTTTTTTAGTTCAGCTTTTAATAGTTTCGTAGTTTTTATCTTGCTGTTTATGCCTGGAGTTGTATTTTATTCTGCAGGGAGAGAAGCTGGGGGCATACAGAAGCCCCATTCACACAGGTCGCAGTCATACATGGTCGCAGTCATACATGTCGCAGTCACACAGGTCGCAGTCATACATGTCGCAGTCATACATGTCGCAGTCATACATGGTCGCAGTCATACAGGTCGCAGTCACACAGGGTCGCAGTCACACAGGGTCGCAGTCATACATGGTCGCAGTCATACATGGTCGCAGTCATACATGGTCGCAGTCATACATGTCGCAGTCACACAGGTCGCAGTCATACATGGTCGCAGTCATACATGGTCGCAGTCATACATGGTCGCAGTCATACATGGTCGCAGTCATACATGGTCGCAGTCATACATGGTCGCAGTCATACATGGTCGCAGTCATACATGGTCGCAGTCATACATGGTCGCAGTCATACATGGTCGCAGTCATACATGGTCGCAGTCATACATGGTCGCAGTCATACATGGTCGCAGTCACACATGGTCGCAGTCACACATGGTCGCAGTCACACATGGTCGCAGTCACACATGGTCGCAGTCACACATGGTCGCATTCACACATGGTCGCAGTCACACATGGTCGCAGTCACACATGGTCGCAGTCACACATGGTCGCGCAGTCACACATGGTCGCAGTCACACATGGTCGCAGTCACACATGGTCGCAGTCACACATGGTCGCAGTCACACATGGTCGCAGTCACACATGGTCGCAGTCACACATGGTCGCAGTCACACATGGTCGCAGTCACACATGGTCGCAGTCACACATGGTCGCAGTCACACATGGTCGCAGTCACACATGGTCGCAGTCACACATTGTCGCAGTCATACATGTCGCAGTCATACATGGTCGCAGTCATACATGGTCGCAGTCATACAGGTCACAAGCTCCCAAAAAAAGTGAAGGAATATATTTTTTGGAGGGTGAATGTTTTTGTAACATTGTTTTTTCCTCCCCTTTAGGCCCCCCTGATATAAAAGGCAGAGCCTCCATCTTCAAGGTTCATCTTCGTCCTTTAAAGCTGCCTGAGAGCCTCAGCAAGGACTCCTTGGCCCGGAAGTTAGCAGCCCTGACTCCTGGATTCACAGGTGACGTTGGTTTGCCATAAGGTGATCATAGGGGGAGGTTTCCTAAAGCCGGCCATACGCGGGTCGAATTCCGAAAGAATTTTCTTTTAAAAATCTTTTTCTAAGAATTTTCGTTCGAATTTCGCATCATTAGTGGATCACAGAAATGGACGATTTTCGACCATTGAATTTGAGTGATCAGGCATGTTGGAAATTCTTTGAAAAACGAACGAATTTCGAATCGATGGGAGAATCGTGCGAGAAATCTAAAGCTGTGACCTGGAAAGAAATGAAAGTTCTTTTCTGTAGCAACATGAGCAGAAATTGAAGGTGCGGTTGGCTGAATTTCGAAATGAATGGTGACGCCATCGGATTACAAAATGCACGAAATTTCAGATTTTCTAAAGAAAATTAGTTTGGAGTTCGACCCGTGTGTGGCCTGCATAAGACTTTAGCATTCAGAATCTGGTGCAGCTCAGCATGGCAGCCAATCAGCTTCTAACTTCAGCTTGTTCAGTGAAGCTTTGGCAATAAAACCTGGAAGCTGATTGGTTCCTATGCAGAGCTGCCCCAGATTTTGTCTTCTCCAGTTTTAGTAAATCTCCCCCACTGGGTGTTACATGGTGACGCTCACTAATTACCCAGATGCCCTCCGCCCTAAATCATAAATCCTGCTACAGGGGGGCAAGGCTGCACAAAGTCACGTATACTGTGAAGGAAATGCGTATTTGCTCCCCTCTGATGCTGAATGTTCGCCGCCCTCACACAGAAACGATCGGTCTAACAATGGAATGTTCGCCCCTCACACAGAAACGATCGGTCTAACAATGGAATGTTCGCCCCTCACACAGAAATGATCGGTCTAACAATGGAATGTTCGCCCCTCACACAGAAATGATCGGTCTAACGGTCTAACAATGGAATGTTCGCCCCTCACACAGAAACGATCGGTCTAACAATGGAATGTTCGCCCCTCACACAGAAACGATCGGTCTAACAATGGAATGTTCGCCCCTCACACAGAAACGATCGGTCTAACAATGGAATGTTCGCCCCTCACACAGAAACGATCGGTCTAACAATGGAATGTTCGCCCCCTCACACAGAAATGATCGGTCTAACAATGGAATGTTCGCCCCTCACACAGAAATGATCGGTCTAACAATGGAATGTTCGCCCCTCACACAGAAATGATCGGTCTAACAATGGAATGTTCGCCCCTCACACAGAAATGATCGGTCTAACAATGGAATGTTCGGTGTAACACTGAGAGACAGAATACACAACAACAAATTCAGCAGAAATGCGTCTAACAAATGATGACTGATCTGCATGTTCATGAGGGAAAGAAGGATTTGATCCCCTATCATTCAGCAGGATTTCTGGCTCCCAGGTGTCTCTCATACAGGTAACAAGCTGAGATTAGAAGCAGTCTCTTAAAGGGAGTGCTGCTAATCTCATTGTGTTACCTGTATAAAAGACACCTGTCCACAGGAGCCATCAAACCATCAGATTCCAAACTCTCCACCATGGCAAAGACCAAAGAGCTGTCCAAGGATGTCAGGGACAAGATGGTAGACCTACACAAGGCTGGACTGGGCTACCAAACTATGGCCAAGCAGCTTGGTGAGAAGGTGACAACAGTCGAGCTCTTTGGCATCAACTCAACTTGCTGTGTTTGGAGGAGGAGGAATGCTGCCTATGACCCCAAGACCACCATCCCAACTGTGAAACGTGGTGGAAACATTCTGCTTTGGGGGTGTTTTTCTGCTAAGGGGACAGGACAACTGCACCACATCAAAGGGACGATGGACGGGGCAATGTACCCTCAAATCTGGGGTGAGAACCTTCTTCCCTCAGCCAGGGCATTGAAAATGGTGGTGGATGGGTGTTCCAGCATGACAATGACCCAAAACACACGGCCACCAAGGCAACAAAGGAGCGGCTCAAGAAGAAGGCACATTAAGGTCCTGGAGTGGCCTAGCCAGTCTCCACACCTTCATCCCATGGAAAATCTGTGGAGGGAGCTGAAAGTTCGAGTTGCCAAATGTCAGCCACCAAACCTTAATGACTTGGAGAGGATCTGCCAAGAGGAGTGGGCCAAAATCCCTCCTGAGATGTGTGCGAACCTGGGGGCCAACTCCAGGAAACGTCTGACCTCTGTGATGGGCCAACAAGGGATTGGCCACCAAGTACTAAGTCATGTTTTGTGAAGGGGATCAAATCCTTCTTTCCCTCATGAACATGCAGATCAGTCATCATTTGTTAGACGCATTTCTGCTGAATTTGTTGTTGTATTCTGTCTCTCAGTGTTAACATTCCATTGTTTAACCGATCACCGAACATTCCATTGTTAGACCGATCATTTCTGTGTGAGGGGCAAACATTCCATTGTTAGACCGATCATTTCTGTGTGAGGGGCGAACATTCCATTGTTAGACCGATCATTTCTGTGTGAGGGGCGAACATTCCATTGTTTAGACCGATCATTTCTGTGTGAGGGGCGAACATTCCATTGTTAGACCGATCATTTCTGTGTGAGGGGCGAACATTCCATTGTTAGGACACGATCGTTTCTGTGTGAGGGGCGAACATTCCATTGTTAGGCCGATCGTTTCTGTGTGAGGGGCGAACATTCCATTGTTTACACGATCGAACATTCCATTGTTAGGCCGATCGTTTCTGTGTGAGGGGTGAACATTCCATTGTTAGACCGATCATTTCTGTGTGAGCGGGAACATTCCATTGTTAGACCGATTCATTTCTGTGTGAGGGGCGAACATTCCATTGTTAGACCGATCATTTCTGTGTGAGGGGCGAACATTCCATTGTTAGACCGATCATTTCTGTGTGAGGGGCGAACATTCACCATCGGGGGGGGTAAATACGCATTTCCTGCACTGTATATACCAGATTTTGCACTCTCACTCTCTGGTTTGGTAAATAAGCCCCCTTGGTGTTCAGTGATGGCTTCTCTTTGGTTTCTGAGCCGTGACTCTGGTCCGTGTTGTTCTGAGCGTGACTCTGGTCCGTGTTGTTCTGAGCCGTGACTCTGGTCCGTGTTGTTCTGAGCCGTGACTCTGGTCCGTGTTGCAGGGGCCGATATCGCCAACGCATGTAACGAGGCCGCCCTCATCGCAGCCAGGCACCTGAATGAGTTTGTTCGGGAGAAGAATTTTGAGCAAGCCATTG